AACTCAGCTTTACCTTTGTTATTTTTCCAACTTTGCAACCAGAATAATTTACAACTACATTATCCTTATGCTGAATTAAATTAAAATTATTCAATGAAGGGGGTCAGGGTTGGATTAAACTACTAATATGGGGTCTTTAGTATATGTTATAAAAGGATCCTAAATTTAAAAATAAATATAAATATTAAATCATAAATTATTTACTAGGATAGTGATAGTGTTTAGAAAACAGGTAAATGTTTAATTTTATCAACATGAAAAGCAAACATTATAAACAAATCCAGAAAAATATGAGGCAAATGATTCTAATGACATCCTTTTTAATTATTTCATCCTAAGTAAGGCAATAAAGATGTAGTAGTTTACTGAAAAGAGAAAAAACTGGGAAAACATTATTGAGTAGAAAGGCCAATAGGCAATCTTTAATTTTTGTGCCTGTAAAAAATAGCTTGTTAAAAGGATGGCTTTACCTTTGACACCACTATTATTTTAACTACCTTCACTCCCCGGCAATATTTATTGTCTCAAAAACTGATGATTAAAATTGTAATAAGAACAAAGAAAATGTATAAATTCACTTTCATATGTTTAAGTTTTATTAAAATTCTGATCATCATTATTTAAACCAATAAACTTTACTGAGGAGTGAAGGTAGTTAAAATAATAGCGGTGTCAAGGGAAAAAACATCCTTTTAATGCACTGTTTTATATGAGCACAAAGGTTAAAGATTACCTATTGTCTTTTCTACTCAATAATGTTTTCTCAGTTTCTTTTATAATAGCAGTAACAAGAAAAAAACATCTTTTTGACACACTGTTTTTTTGCAGGCATGAAGGTTAAAGACTGCCAAACAATAAACAAACAGGGTTCAAAAAGACTTAAGATGATGACTGACATTGCATTTAAATCTTTGGAGATCATAGTTGACAGGAAAGTAAGAAGCTGGAAGGGAGTTCCACAGGTGAAAATTGTGAGAGAAGAAACTATTAGAATAGAGCTTATGGTTACAGCTAATAATTTCAATAGTAAAATGGTGAGACCTAGCTGCCAATCTAGTACTATATTTAAATTCATCAAGTTGAGACACTAAAGAGGAATGCTCACCAGAACAATTGCTAGGAAAATATTTATAGAAAAGATGGCCATTAGGGTACCTCTAAACTTGAAAAAAATCATACCATGGACCAAATTTATATTTATCTCATTTCAGCTGTAGGAAAGTGATTGAAGCTGAGATATCAGGCCAGGACCAATGACATTGTAAATTCTTCTTTAGATTTTGTCAAGAGTCTTTAGATACATAGCAGAAGCAACAGACCGGATGTGGCTATAATATTCAATGCATGGGACAGCTTTGATATAATGTTACCAGAAATGATGAATAATTAAAGATGCAGATCACCTGATATGTAAATGTTAACATTACAAGATTGTCAGGTGCATATTTTACCAGACAATTGACAATATTTAATGTGTGGGCTCACAAAAATGTAGGGGCCTCAAAAATGCAAGGCCTTTAGCATTTACTACTTTTGCTACTAGGTTAATCTAAAGGTTGTAAAGGGCAGTTGGGATGCCATCCAAATCTCTATCTATAAAAGGCAGGATGTGTGTGTGTGTGTGTGTGTGTGTGTGTGTGTGTGTGTGTGTAACGAATGCACGGCCGCAATTCCACTAAAATTTACATGCACATGCTACAAGTTAGCGAGAAGGCCAAGACCAACTTTGCATTTCCCAACTCCCATCAATAGTGGAAATAATCAATTTTTTTCATGCTTCTATGGCAGTTTTCATGTAGTTTGCAGCCATTTTCTACTGGCCAGAGTGAGAGCCAATAGCTGGCTGCCATGAATAGGCAGGAAGATTCTATTGGCTAGTGTGAGAGCCAACAGCTGACTGACATGAATGTTAACTAGCATGCTAGCATTCAAAACAATTTTTAAAGCTGATTGTTTTGTGTTCATTTTGTTTAGTTCTTTTTTCGTAACAGATTTAATGTTTAGTATAGAGCTTAGAAAAAATTTGCAGTGTGAGATAGGCAAGAAGTAAGGCATGTAGCAACATCAGCATGGCAAAGGGCACTCCTTTAAAGGCAAGGAAGGGCAAAAATATTTTAAGTCAAGTGATAGCGATTACTGTATGAGTCGTACGATTTTTGAATCAAGCACGGGCAATGCCGGGCGATGCTGCTAGTGTAACATATAACAAGAAATTTTTTCATCTGCTTTGATCCTTTTTATGGGATTATTATAAGATTATCTTTTATTCTGTAAGATTCTTTTGAATGTCCGGTTCACACTCTTCCCCCACCGTTTGAACAGGAGTAGTGGTTTATCCCATATTTCCTTTTTAGGAATTTGGCTTCCAGTTCCTTATAAATTCTACTTCAACTCTATACTTTTAATGTGTCTGCTTAAACTCTGAAATTTATACTATTTATTGGGTATCTGGTTCCTTCTAAAGTCTTTTCCTTCTCTTTGACTTCCAGTCATCCCTTGTGTCTTAGTGGGGTTATCACCTTGCTTGAGGTGAATTGATTAAAAAAAATGGCACCTTTTATTTAGCTATGTTAATGTACAGATTTTGCTTTGGAGTTAAGTAAGTAGCTATTACTAACATTCAGTACTTATACAGATACAAGCATATATGCTTATATACATTTCAGTAATGAAAATAACTACAAGTGTGTGTTTAAAATTATACAGCTACTACATTGCATTCTTGAGTTTATGTGAACAAATATCCAACTCTCCAGGACTTGAATCTTTATAATCTTTATACATCCAAGTAAAAGCCTACTACTCTATCGCAAAAGTTAATATTAGAAGCTGTTCTTTTATCCTTATAGATGAATGTAGTTCTACGAAAGGTTACTGAGATTACCATGGTATGGACATGTGAGTAACAACTTTGAACTTCTGCACTTATATGTATACTTATTATGAAACTTGTTGAAATGAACTTTAAATAATTTAGACTCTTTGTATCAAGATCTTCAAATTTGATAGTTCATCTTCTTCTATGTACCATTGTCCCTTCAGGACATTAACAATCATGGCTCTCCACACTTTCCTTTCGTTTGTAACTCTTAATAAATTTTGTCTTTTTGTTATCCCTCCTAAAACTTCTTCCACCATCCATTTACTCACACTTGCTAGGTAGGTTTTGCATTGTTTTTCTCTCTTCCTCTTCCTCTTTAATCTATCCTGTGAGTATCAAATATTTCAAGACCTTTTTCCTCATGTGCCCAAGAAATTTTAACTTTCTCTTCCTGATTTTAAGTATAAGTGTAATTTTTATTTCTTTTTTCTCTAAAACGTCATCATTACTCACATGTTTGGTCCATGGTATTCTCATCATCCCTCTGTAGAACTGCATTTCTGTTACTTCAAGTCTCTTCTTCATCTATGATTGTCCAGCATTCACTACCATATATACTATTATTACATAACAGTTGTTTGTTTCTAATGACTTTTTTTTCCTTCTTAATACTTTGCTTAGCTTTTGAATGGCATCTTTGGCTATCCCAATGCACCTTAGAATTTTAACGTTGCACTTTCTGTTAAAACACTTCCCAGATATTTTAATTTTACTTATTTGATTTTGGTATCTCCAATTTGTAATTATCATGTTGGTCTGTTACTTTTGCTAACAACCATGCATTCTATTTTCTTACAATTGATGTTTAGTCTTCTTGCTTTCCTCCACTATCTTCTGTAGGATTTCTTGTAGTTTATTTTTTATGTCTACTATCACCACTGGGTAAATAGCAGGACAGACCAAGTTCTATAGCTTTGGATGGCAACTGGTCTACTGCAGAAAGAAATGGCAACCTACTGCAGGAAAAAATCTGCCTCGTCAGTCATGTATTGAAAGATACATGTTTGCCTAAGCATGTATAATGTATGGCACATAACTGACTGATATCTGCTGGACTCATTTTCTATCCATATGCAGGTGGTTTACTGCCAGTATAGGTTCTGGATTATTCAAATATTAGCAATTCCAACAGTTCTTTGTGATGTACTTTATCAAACATTTTTGCATAATCTATAAAACACAATTACGCATCATTCTGCATTTGTATTGTTTATCTTAGAGAATAATATTTGCAAAATTTTCTTCAACTGCATGTAATCTTTTTGCTTCCTGAAATCTGTTTATTTTCTGAACAACTGAATTTCTCTGTCATTCCTATTTCAGAAATGAAATGGTATTGACCAGGTACAATGGCAACTAATTTTGATAATAACCAAGTAAGAAATATCTAAGACATACTTTGGTTACAGTAAAGCTCAGACAATAAGTTTAAGCTTAATAGTGTATCTCTGCTTGAATCAAAGAGTTAGTGATATTGATAAACTGATAGTTATATGATTATAAGCCTCTGGCTTATCAACAAGCTCTAAGTCATGCCAAGTAATCAACCAGCAAATAACAGTGGATATAAATCAGGTGATTTCATGCCACAATTCAATTATGGTCAGTAAAATAAGTTGCCATACAGGATCACAGCTGATAATCCTTATGCTATTCAAATGATCAGTTTACATAATAACAAGTCAGGGATGCTGAGATATCTATTAGCTAATAATGATCGGATATCTATTAACTAATAATAATAAGTTACTTATACTACCACGAAAAAGTTTTTTACTACAGTTTCCTTGATACAAGGATTGAGAGTTACTCAAAGTAGAATGGTACTGAATAAGGTGTGTGATATGAATGAAAGAGGAGATGATAGAATTGAATGATTTGTTTTTTATGGCTTTTCAACCTTTTGCAAGTTATTTAAAGTCAGAAAATATCTTTAGAGTGTAAGAACTTTTTACAGATAATAATGACTTACTGATACTGGGAGGGAAGAAGTGGATTCATACCTTTCCCAAGGGTATTTGCATGTAAGGGAATATAATGAACTCAACTGGAATTGAAACTCAGCTCTTCAATTTCCAATTCCGAGCTGTTGTCCATTATACCAGCTTCACATCCAAACTTACAGCACATGTTATTCCCAAGTGGTCACCCATCTGGGTACTGACCAGGCTTGACATTGCTTAACTTTGGTGATTGTATAAGAACCAGTGTTTCAACATGATATTACTGTAAGCTGCATTTATAGTTATTTTCCAAGCATAGCTTAGATGTGGCACAAGGCCGAAAGTATGGGGCATCTAGTGAGGATCGAACTCACTTTTCAGTTGTAACTGATCTAGTGAGACAAGCTTGTTAACCATTACACCACGCCGAAGTGCCCAAGCTGCATTTATATATATATATATATATATATCCAAATCTAGAAGATATTTATAGAGTGTAAGAAATGTGGGGAAAGATAATAAAGAATTACTAATACAAGTCCTATTTATTAACCAATAGCTGGGGGAGAAGAGGTGGATCCATACCTTTCCCAAGGGTATTTGCATATAAATGAATGTAACAAACCTAACTGGAATTGGAACTTGGCTTTCTGATCTCCAGTTCTAAGCCATTATACATTACACCTACAAATCCAAGTGTTGGGTTGGTGAAAAAGGTTGTCTCCCCCTACATAGCAGTAGAAAACCACATAACAGCTACTGAGGTTCACAGATGGATTGGTGTAAAGGATAGATGCTCACACAAGTACCTGGGACTTGCTCCTAGGCCAAAGGACTAACTCCAGATAAAGGGAATCACAGACCTGTTCTGATGAAATGGATACAAGTTATCTGTGTCAACAATGGACTGCTCTGGTAAGTCACACCACATATTCTATGTAGAGGAGGACAATGCCTGTATTAACTATTTTTAATAATAATAACAAATATTGTTATCATTATAATTTTTAGCTTAACCTATACTCTCCAGTACAAGCTTACAGAACCTGATATTCTCAATTGGTCACTCATCAATGTACTGACCAAGCTCAACATTTCTTAACTTTATGAGAACCTGTGTTTTAACAAGATATGGCAATAAGGCTAGGAAATGGTAGGAAGGGAAGATTATAAGAATGAGGAGGCTACATGAAGACTGCTATGCATGAGTCTGTTACATAAGGTGATAGTTCTCGGAGAAAAAGCCATCTCAGTAGAACTTTTTTCTTACTAGAATTTTTTGGCATGTTGAAATCCTTACAATATGCAGTATTGTTGAAATTATTGCGAACATTTTTTTTGAGATTTTCAAATGCTGTTTCATTCAATTTTGCAAACCAGTCAATGAAATTTGAATGAGCAGATTTGTTTAGGAAAATACTTTGACAAAAACCCTACTTAGCAGTTTAAGCACCCTAGTAAAACTGTACTTTGTGCCCCCTTATCTGTTTGCATTTCTCCCAAAAATTTGGTTTCAATCAGTCAATGTATGGCTATTTTAGAAGGTGGGATGGACAGACTAATAGAAATCACAGAATTTTATATATAGATTTTTTGGACACAGTGGAAATGAAGTATGATATGCCTTAACTGTAAAGGTCTAACTTGGTGGAACTAACAGTAAACAGGCTGTTAATCTATGTAGGGTTGTTGAAAAATATGAATTTCATTTATTTGTTAATTCTATAGAAATTTTTCAAATAATATTTGGGAAACTGTTCAATGGCTAGAGTGTTAGATTCAAGATTATAAGTTTTGCAATCAAGTAGAATGGTATTATCATAGTGATTTATATGCTATTAAAAATCAGATTGGACATCAAGTGTACTGTTTGTGAGAGTATATTAACAGCATTAATCATTATTTTTTATATTCATTACATTTGATTTGGATTGCTAGAATATTGTCATAGTACATTTATCATGAGATATTATTAGCTTATTAAAATAAAGCAACTGTCTTTCTGGTAGTCTAAAAGGGTAATCTGTTCAGCTATTGCTAACATTCAGTGTCCAGTGTTGCTCAATCCATCTTTTAAATGCTTTTTACCACCAGTCCTGTCATAAGAGCAGAGCTGTCCCCCAGAAAAGCATTCCCCACATCTGTGAAAATGATGTGAACTAATTTTAATGTGCAAATACTTACTTGTGGACCCTCTGACTTAAATGCTGTCTCCCTATTGAAAACTCACTGGCAACAGGTCTGATTACCAGTCACTATTCTTTTAGTTGCTAAGTGATATATGGATGAGGACTCTGTTCCACTCATTCATCATAGATAAAGGGTAAATCTTTTATTTAATTACAGTGTATCAGAAATTCAGCATTACAGTTGCAAATTTGAATTTTATCCAATTTAATTCCCTCAGGACCTAAAATAATTTGAACATTACAAAAATAAATTCTTCTGATCTTTTAGAAATAGAAAATTTAAAAGAAAAATTACTACTATTCTATTTTGACAACATTTTGAATACTTACTAAAACATTTTACTACATGAAATTTATTATATTTTTTAATTTAATTTGATGAATTTTTAATTTTTAATAGGTGAATTTTTGAAAAATCATGTTATCAATTCTTTTGTAGCATATCTGTTTAAATTGCAAAAATAAACATGGCTGGTTTGAGAATTAGGGGCAGAAGGAAACTGAACTAATCACAGCTTATGTAAATGAATTTCAGAACAAAAAGTGGTAGGGATAGTAAAAAGACAAACATTACTAAGATCTACAAAGGATAGGAAGTTGTGAAGAGCCATGATCAGCCACAACCAGAAGAAAATTGACATAAAGTAACTAAATTAAAAAAAAATGATTAAGCAATATATATATATCAATTTTAAAATTATGAATTTGAACTCCTAATCAAGATTTTTATTGTTATCAGATAGGCAATCGGCCAAAATAATAATAATAATAATAATAATAATAATGATGATGATGATGATGATGATGATGATCTTCAACCCTACATATATGTAGATGTTAAAAACTTCAAGCAGTGAACATTATAATAAACATTATAATAAAATTAATGGAATATTGAAAAGTGAAACTAACCACAATATCAGACAGGGATCAAAATGAAAGAGGCATCTTCCAAGCAGACTCATTTTCCCTGGTGCTATTCATCATGAGCTGTACATATATATATATATATATATATATATATATATATATATATATATATATATGTGAAAATATATAGAAAATAGGAAGGAACTGGTTAGGTAAATAATCCAAAGTCCCTTAGTATTTTAGTTATTATTTTTAAAAAAATAGTGCTCGATCTTTTTTTGACACCCCCACCTTTCCCCGACTTGACACCTTGAAAGTATCTCTATACCGCTACTTATTATAAACACCCTACACTCGCCTACCCAATTTAGACAATTCACCATAGCTGTTATCATGGGGATTTTGATTTCAATTAGTAAATTTCAGATATACGTTATTCCAACAAAAATTTCGCTTGAAGATGGAACGGAGCCCATTTTACTTTCAACTCAATTTAATTTAAAGGATTATATTGAAGTTTTCGGCTCTTGTTTTGAAACATGAGACCTCTTATGTAGCAATTTGGAATCATATTTTTAAATAAATATTATATATATATATATATATATATATATATATATATATATATATATATATATATATATCAAAGTTATAAACTTACAACATCTCAACAAAAGATTAATTCTCATGCACAAAGATGACCAAAAGATTTTGCCAAGAAGAAGCAAGAAGTGGAAACTCTCATAGAAACAGTCAGAATTTTCAGCTGAGATAAAGGTATGGATACTTACATTATTTTTATTATTCAGACTGTTATCCTCATCTTCATTACCATCTTCACAACGTTTTGGCCTTTGTATGCTTCAGCCTCCTTCAAGTGATTGGAATTTCAAACCAAACCCTTTATTCCATTCATTCGAGTAGATTGTTTTAGTTCCACATACCATACCTCTTCTAGATGTCTGAATTATTTCCCTTTAACTCAACTCTCCAAGTTTTGGTTCACCACTGCTGTAGCCTGGTATTGAGCTCACAACTCTTTGGGTCTAGTCAGTGGATTCAACCAATGCATTTATCCATTGGGCCATGTGGATAAAGGTGCTGGTTAGATCCACTGATTAGAAATGTTGTGAATATGGCAATGAATATGAGGAGTCCAAATACATAAATAATGTCAGTAATTATAATACCTCATCACAGAGATATAGACAGATAATAAAGGAATGGAATTTGGCTTTGAAAAATGTACAAAGGAAAAAGAGGAACAACAGATGGAATTGAAATTACCCAACCAGGAAATCAGAAGGAAATATTGACAACATGTATCTGTGGAAGTGGGAATCATCAAAAAGTAAGATATGAAGAAACATAAAGAAATACCTCAGAAAAGTAAAGACCAATTTCTGCAGCAGAAAATTAAAGGAATATATACCTGGGCAATTTTCATTGTGAGATAATCTGAACCTTTCTTAAATTGGACAAGAGTAGGGCTCAAAATCCTGGACCACAAAACAAACAAAATGAGGAAAATAAATACTATATCTGAGAAATGATGTTGACAGGCTTTACATTATAAAAACATGGAAGGAGAAGATTATTCAGCAGTGAACAACTCCAAAATTGTCAAACACAAGGCAGCAAAGAAAGATTACTTGTAACATCAAAAACTGCATTAAAATGAACAGAAATCCTAGAAACAACTCAAAAATAAGCAAAAAAAACTCCAAAACAATTATATCAGTTATTTCAGAAGAGAACTCAAAAGAATGGCACATAATGTAACATGTCCCTAGCTACATAGATGAAACCATAAGAGAGAAACCAAGTCACTGTTAATAGTGGTTCAAAATAATGCTATAAGAACCAACTGTATAAAGGTTTAACACAATAAATAAAATTGAGAATGATGATTTTTCTTTTTATTGGTTGGGTATTTGCAATGAATAGGCATTTCACAGCTCAGTATCACATGTCAATCATGTCATATGCTCAGCATGGTCCACAACATTCTCGGAAAATCTACCTGCTTTTATTGAGCCTAAAACATTAGCAATTGGCTAGAAAAACAACTCATTTGTATAACTAACACCACTCAGCTCATTTTCCCGACTATTTCATTGGGGAGCTGGTAGATATCTCATTACTTCATAACCAGACAACCTGTGGTTTGTACCAGTTCTGTTCTGGCTGAACAGCATTTCCTTTCTTTTTATGGAGACAGCACA